TAGCTTTCATGGGGGCTAGTTTTCATGGGAACTAGCTTTCATGGGGGCTAGTTTTCATGGGAACTAGCTTTCATGGGGGCTAGTTTTCATGGGAACTAGCTTTCATGGGGGCTAGTTTTCATGGGAACTAGCTTTCATGGGGGCTAGTTTTCATGGGAACTAGCTTTCATGGGGGCTAGTTTTCATGGGAACTAGCTTTCATGGGGGATAGTTTTCATGGGAACTAGCTTTCATGGGGGCTAGTTTTCATCGGAACTAGCTTTCATGGGGGCTAGTTTTCATGGGAACTAGCTTTCATGGGGGCTAGTTTTCATGGGAACTAGCTTTCATGGGGCTAGTTTTCATGGGAACTAGCTTTCATGGGGCTAGTTTTCATGGGAACTAGCTTTCATGGGGGCTAGTTTTCATGGGAACTAGCTTTCATGGGGGCTAGTTTTCATGGGAACTAGCTTTCATGGGGCTAGTTTTCATGGGAACTAGCTTTCATGGGGGCTAGTTTTCATGGGAACTAGCTTTCATGGGGGCTAGTTTTCATGGGAACTAGCTTTCATGGGGGCTAGTTTTCATGGGAACTAGCTTTCATGGGGGCTAGTTTTCATGGGAACTAGCTTTCATGGGGGCTAGTTTTCATGGGAACTATAAAAAGATTTTTTTTTTAATTAATATGAAGCTCCAAGCCGGTGACGATAATTCAACTCAATTAGTGAATGGAGACTCGATCCACCGTCTGCGTAGAGTAAGACGGATCTCTGAATCGAGTGCAGGTCCTTCCTAGTGGGTTTCTTTGCGTATTTCTTCCTCCCAGAGACACATGGGTAAAAACACTCTGGACACGTTACAAGAAACATCATTTAGATAGGGTGGTCAGCGTACTCATTTCACGCATTTTGTGTCCTCGGTTCGATCCTTGGTAAGGGTGGAAACATTGGGAGTGTTTCATTACACCTGATGTCTCTGCTCATTTAATAGCAAGTAGGTACCTGGGTGCTAGCCGACTGGTATGGGTTGCATCCTGGAGGAAAAGATTAATCTAAGTTACCCGTAATACTCTGCATAACCAGAGACTTTCTATATAATATGTCACTGATGTCAGCTTTGGTCTGTATAAGTTGTGTACTTGTAGAAGCAAAGATTATTGTTGTTGTTGTTGTTGTTGTTGTTGTTGTTGTTGTTGTTATTCACTCAAGAGGTCCAGAACCAAAACGGTTTTTATCGTTGATCTTGTGTGCCTTGGGTATATTACGCTTCCCATTCATTTTCTTCTCACAAACCTGATTTGCAGTCGTCTCACTCCTGTACAATTTCTTTTCCAGTCTTCCTTTCGTCTCCTTTCTCCATGCATTGGTAATTAAATTTCAGTGGCTTCTTGTGTGTGATCTTCTGTCTGTGAGATTTTCTTCCCTTGATCGGTATTTATTTAAGTTTTGTGATTGCATTGAGGGGCACGATGTGCTTTTTCCTTCAAAATTACAATCAAGAGTAAACTCTTAAATTTTAGTACAGCTTACAGTTTCAAAAAGCGTGCTTGGGGATACCGACAGCGTGCTTGGGGATACCGACAGCGTGCTTGGATATACCAACAACGTGCGTGGGGATACCAAAACGTGCGTGGGGATACCAAAAACGTGCGTGGGGATACCAGCAACGTGTGTGGGGATACCGTCAGCGTAGGTTGGGATACCGATGTTCTAAGAACCAACAATACATTACGTCTCGTGCTGCCGCACAGAAACTACCTTTTCAACCATTTAATTATTGTCTCTTAAATAAACGTGGACACAGGTCATTTTACAGAAACCTAACCAATCCCAGAACAAGAAATATTTAATGTTTTGGAAGACGTTTAGATCAAAGAACTAATCTGTGCGTAAAATGGTGCATTACATGTGTGTTTCCAAAGCGAAAAATACATCTAGATTTAGAAAAATTGAGCTTGGGTGCACAGTTGATGGTACCACATGTTCCAGGGGCTTGTACGGATTTAATGAATACACAGAGAGCGCTCGTGGGAAGAACTGCTAAGTTCAGACTAACTTTACATTAAGTACAACTACCAACGCCAATTTCTGGATGAGCTTGAGGATAAATAATGAATAAATAAATCAAACCTGTCCTTGTTTTCCTACGTTCATTCCGTACGAGAGACGACACGTCAGTTTCTGAACGTTCCCTGTAAACTAATGCAATTTTCGATATTTTAAGTGAGGTTAGTCTAGGATAGGTTAATTTGAACTGTGTTAGGCTATGTTAAGTTAGACTAGGAGAGGTTAGATTAACTTGCATAATTAGAACGAATATTTATCAACATAGCTATCTACCTGGAGTCGATTTTGAAGTTTACCTCTCCCACGGCCCAGTCCCAGAACCTTAGATGCTAGCCGGATCGACCAGACTGTTGGTGGCAGCCGCACGCAGTCCAACGTGTGCATCACAGCCCAGTTGATCAACAAATAAACTGAGGAGCTAACGAGAACTTTAAAAAAAAGTGGCCGCCATACTTTTGACAGCGAGGTGGTCAGAAAACCGTTCGGATCTGCAAGCTGTTGCTGCTGGTGGTGCGAGACTGATCAGTAACAAACCCTACAGAAACATGGGAAAAAAATTAAGACATTTCGGCTCTCTCCTTGACCATCATCAAGTCGCGAGTCCACTGGCTCGATTCCATTTCTTTAAAGGCATTGATACCTGTGAAGGGCTCTTGATCTACTGAGCTGGAGCAGCCCTCGCATTCCTTAGATAAAATTCTAAAAGGCTTGGAGGCGAGCATGTCCACACTGCCACTGGACATGTGAAGGAGGCGAGCATGTCCACACTTCCACTGGACATGTAGTGGAGGCGAGCATGTCCACACTGCCACTGGGCATGTGAAGGAGGCGAGCATGTCCACACTTCCACTGGACATGTAGTGGAGGCGAGCATGTCCACACTGCCACTGGACATGTGAAGGAGGCGAGCATGTCCACACTTCCACTGGACATGTAGTGGAGGCGAGCATGTCCACACTGCCACTGGACATGTAGTGGAGGCGAGCATGTCCACACTGCCACTGGACATGTAGTGGAGGCGAGCATGTCCACACTTCCACTGGACATGTAGTGGAGGCGAGCATGTCCACACTGCCACTGGACATGTAGTGGAGGCGAGCATGTCCACACTGCCACTGGACATGTAGTGGAGGCGAGCATGTCCACACTTCCACTGGACATGTAGTGGAGGCGAGCATGTCCACACTGCCACTGGACATGCGGAGGCGAGCATGTCCACACTGTCACTAGACATGTAACAGAGGCGAGCATGTCCACACCGCCACTGGACATGTAGTGGAGGCGAGCATGTCCACACTGCCACTGGACATGCGGAGGCGAGCATGTTCACACTGTCACTAGACATGTAACAGAGGCGAGCATGTCCACACTGCCACTGGACATGTAGTGGAGGCGAGCATGTCCACACTGCCACTGGACATGTAGTGGAGGCGAACATGTCCACACTGCCACTGGACATGTGGATGCGAGCATGTCCACACTGCCACTGGACATGTAGTGGATGCGAGCATGTCCACACTGCCACTGGACATGTAGTGGAGGCTTGCATGTCCACACTACCACTGGACATGTAGTGGAGGCATGCATGTCCACACTACCACTGGACATGTAGTGGAGGCATGCATGTCCACACTACCACTGGACATGTAGTGGAGGCTTGCATGGTCACATGGGACCACCGGACATGCTGGGACACGGGCGAAGGAGCAAGACTTTGAGGGACGGAGGATCGAGCATGCAGGACGTGCTGTCACAGCGTTAAGCTAAATTCTCATTATCATAATCAGTCAATCACAATCACATTGCACAACCCAGACAGCTCGCCGGCTCAACTCCCTCCCCCCTCCTCTCTCTCTCTCTCTCTCTCTCTCTCTCTCTCTCTCTCTGGTATTTAAATTTAGACAAGAAATTAAAAAAAAAGTTAAAGAGTGAAAGAAATCAAGCGAGGCAAACAAGAGACGCTACGCCCCCATGATAATTCTTTTGCTTAAGCCTTAAAGGATTAGATAAGTAACCCATGGTGTGGTTGCTACGCTTCAGGACCCTTCGATGGAGATGCCGTGATGCTAGTTAAGGGCTCAAGAAACTGGCATCAAGACACACACACACACACACACACACACACACACACACACACACACACACACACACACACACACACACACACACACACCTCACACACCTTACACTCCTCACACACCTCACACACCTCACACACCTCACACACCTCACACACCTCACACACCTCACACACCTCACACAATAGGCCGAGTGTCCATCGGCAACTAACGCACCACCACACCCGTACATATCCAATGCCACATATTCAGACATGTACATACACGTGCACAGTGCACGGAACTGGTTAGCAAATGACTAACTACCGAGACAAAATAATCTACACGCGACACCAGCGGCGCTCCACATTACCTCTAACAATTTTCTCGCTCTGTCTAAGAAGTTAGTGAGACAAAGCGAAAAATGTGCGCATGTCTCATGCACCTTCATACAAAAGGAACAATGGTAAAGAATGAGGGACAGACGTGGCTAGGCCACTCATTAAATATCTACAAAACATTGACTGACTGCTCTGAGTCGCACGAAATAATTTATCTAATATTAATATGCGTGTTGCTCGCGATGGCTTCCTCTTCCTTCCTAATCTTTTCTCTTTCCCCTCCTCCCCATGCCTCTCCAATCTCCCAAGTAATCGTCCACCCCAAAGAAAATTATTACCAGAAAAAATAGTGTGCGAAGATAGTGGGTGGGGGTCTGTATTTTGCGTGGTGGATGATGGCCAGTTGTTTCTCTGCTAACCTCTCCTCTAAATAGGACAGCCGTTTTCTCACACATTACATTTTGTTGATTCTGTCCAATCAACACCTCAACAATGACGAAATAACAATGAACTTGTAGCTTACGTCTGGCTTCGCGAGACATATCGTGGTCCATTGGAGGGCCGGAACTCTCACGCACACTCTCTGTGTTGGTTCGTGGATGGGTTCTTCCAGTCCCTGAAACTCAGCCTTCAGTTCGGTATACCTGAAATCATCCGTGTCCACGATAATGTTATGGAATAAGAAAATATCTTATTAGAAAGTTTTCTATTACCTTTTTGGGAAGAATTCTATGTTATCTTAGACAACGCAAACTCTCGGACCACCAAATTCATAACCTACTTTGTAAATGAGTGAACAACGCTCCAGTACCCCCCTCCCCCTTCCCTCCCTTCACTGTAAGACAACGAAAGGATCCGTTATCTATTTCATCTCACTCTAAACACACGAGCATCCCTCCTGTCTCCTGCTCTTTCACTACAAGTACGAACAGGCCCTCTATTCCCTTTCCATCAGTGCATACACAAGAATGTCGCACCTGTCAACTTCCCCTCATTGTGAACTTACGAAAAATTTTCCCCTTTCCCTGTTTTCCATTTCGATGTAAAGTTCTCGCTAATCATTCACAAACGAACTTTATTCTGATTGTTCACGAGAAAACGGTAGTGTACTCTTGCCTGTAAAATGAGCCAATCTTCGACAATTGTGAGAAGACGAGACATCTTCAAACCTTAACTACGTCGCGTGACTCCTCAGAGTTCTCTGGGGGTGAATTTTCAAATGGTAAATATAACCAGCGTCCAAAAGTTGTGCGAGGTATCTATCATTGCTGAGTTATAGCGAAACACTGGTAATGATAATGTTCTCATCCACAGCACGTCTAATTGTATTCTACATAATATATGAAAGTGCTTTTCACCAATTTGTTTATATGTCCTCACGTCTTTGTATATCTGGCCTTATGTTCTCTCTCTCTCTCTCTCTCTCTCTCTCTCTCTCTCTCTCTCTCGCTGTGTGTGTATGTGTTTGTGTGTGTTTGTGTGTTTGTGTGTTTGTGTGTGTGTGTGTGTGTGTGTGTGTGTGTGTGTGTGTGTGTGTGTGTGTGTGTGTGTGTGTGTGTGTGTGTGTGTGTGTATGTGTGTGTGTGTGTGTGTGTGTGTGTAGGAGGAGGAGGAGGAGGAGGAGTCAGTTCTGTTACAGCCTGTTACCCTGTCTTCTAGTGTCCGTCCCGTTATACACCATGTCAGCCTGTCACGACAGCCAGTGGCACTTAATTAAATACTCTCTCATAATTCAATACTCCTCACTCCCAGAAGGAAAAAAAAAGTAATGAACGTAAGTGAAGTAAGAGTCTGTGAGAGACTCTGAGCGAACACGCCAGCTAGGCGCTCATTACCCGCATGTTAAGAAAGAGGATTAATCACTAGATCTTGCGTGAAAAACGTTATCATATTGATCGACGGCTCGCTTCCAGTCCTGCTCTATTAAGGATCTGGCCAGAAATCGATCGCGAGAATTATGACTTAGAACCTCTGCTGCTGTTGAAATTGCCTAAGTGAAAGCCTTAATAGCCCAGAGCATGGCATAAAATAACGGTCAGGCCATAAGATACGCCCGGATGGTCTTCAGATTAGCCAGGATATCTTTCACGATATCCGAGTTTGAGCGCACGCTAATTTACCGAGAATGTGATAAGCCATTGTATTAGTCAGAAATGATATAGCAGGAGACAGGGCCATGTCCTCCAGTGTAGCGAGCGTTATGACACCACACCACACGAAGTTATGACACCACACTAACTTATGACACCACACTAAGTTATGACACGACACCACACTAAATTATGGCTTTGTTGTTAAGCTTTACGAGGACCCGATACTCAATATACCTTTGCTCTGTAATTATCTTGGACATTGTGAAGGACGAACCTGGCTTTTATTTAGCCTGCAGGCGCCGAGAAGCAACAGTCTGATGAGCACAGCGCTTGATGGGAGGGAGGGGGAGGAGGATGAACAGTGCCAGCGTGACAACGGTGAGAGAATTGATGGTCACTGCTGTTAGGCAGCAGTGAAGACTGACAGTCACTGTTGTTCGTTAGGTTACAGTGAGGACTGACAGTCACTGCTATCTGTTAGACTGCAGTGAGGACTGACAGTCACTGCTATCTGTTAGGCTGCAGTGAGAATTGACAGTCACTGCTATCTGTTAGGCTGCGGTGAGGGCTGACAGTCGCTGCTATCTGTTAGGCTGCGGTGAGGGCTGACAGTCGCTGCTATCTGTTAGGCTGCGGTGAGGGCTGACAGTCGCTGCTATCTGTTAGGTTGCAGTGAGGATTGACAGTCACTGCTATCGTAGGTTGCAATGAGGACTGACGGTCACTGTTATCCGTTATGCTGCAGTGAGGACTGACAGTCACTGCTATCTGTTAGGCTGCAGTGAATAACATTCTGTTCATGAAGCGCCGCTGACAACGTCGGGTTCGTACAAAGCTAAAATGTTGACGACTCGGCAAACTCCCTTGAATTTACGCAAATAAAAATCTTGAGA